GCCATATATATATATATATATATATATATGATCCTGTGTTAATCAGTGTAATCTGGTCAGCCATGTCAGCTGTATCAGAATAATAATAAATATTTTTTTTTATCTTATTCATCCATATGTTACGTATTTCAGAGAAACAATGAAAATGTCTAACTTTAGGAATATTATATTTCTAATATTCTGTGGTAAGTTATACTTAAGTAGTGATATACATTAGTAACTTTTTCTTATATATTATATATGTTCTCTTATATATAATATTTTAAATTTAAACTTTATAGGAATGTATTGTACAGTGGCACTTTCTAAAACAACTTTGACTGCTCCAACATTCAGTAAAACATATACAGTGAAAGGAACATTGTATATTCCATATGCAGAAATTCGAGAACCTTTCTATGCTTGGTATGATGGCAACAGTGGATCTAGTAGGATTGATTATTATGGAGGTATTAAAAAATAATAAAAATCTTTAATTATTTATTATCTATTTTTTATTTAGACCTGTTTGGTATAACACACATGAACAACACACATAATACCTTTTTTTTTTCTAATAGGAATGGTTAAAACCTTTCAATTGGCTCATAAAGGACAATATGGAGCGAGTATAAAAATAGCACCTATTACAACAGAAACTGTTAGTAATAAAGAAACATGTCTTCAAGTGAATGGTACTAATGATTCTAAAATACAACCACAATCTATTCTTCCAGATACACCTGAAATGGAGGTAAATAAAATTACAGAATTTACATGTTTGCAATTTTATTAATTTATTAAATTATGGACATGTATATACAAAAAAAATATAAGTAGCTTTTACTGAAATTTATATATAGTGTATTGGAGAAGAGATGATCAATGGATTAATGTGCGAGAAATGGCGACTTGTACAAGAAATTGGGGATAAAACAAACAAGTATACTCTTTGGATACGTTATAAGGTAAGAATAAAATTATTTATGTATATGATAAAATAAATAAATCTATTCTATTTAGAGAAAATAATCTTTGTAGAAATCACCGTATCAACCAAAAGTCAAGGAACCTATTCCTATGAGATATGAAATGAATGGATTTAATAGTCTTTTAGGTTCACATTATGATCATTATTACTTGGAGTATGATTGGTATTCCTCTGACAAACCTTCTGATGATGTCTTTAATATTAAAGAAGGTATTTATAATTCTTAATGTATATTTTTTTCCCAGTTGTTAACTGATATAAAGTTTTTTTTTAAATTACATTATAGTAAAACAATTACTGTATTAAATTTATTATTATAAAGCAAATTATTTGTAGATGATAAGTGCGTCAGCTTCCCAGGTCCAGGTGAAAATCATATATATACCTTTAACCCAATGCGTGAATTCATACATAGTTATGAGGATCATTTGCATGAAGCATTTAATAAATTTAAAAAAATTTACAATAAAAATTATAAAGATGACTTGGATCATATATATCGCAAAGATTTATTTAGACAAAATATCAGGTACACTTATGCCACAATGGATATTGTGTTACTATTATTCCAAAAATAATTGCTTCAAATTGCTAAATAATTTTCAGATTTATTTATTCTATAAATCGTGCCAATTTGGGTTATCAGTTAGAGGTAAATCATTTGGTGGATCGTAGCGATCTCGAATTAAAGGCTTTACGGGGCAAGCAATACACCCCAGGTTATAATGGTGGAGCATCATTCCCACATGATATCGAAGAGGAAATTACAGATGTTCCTGATAGTATAGATTGGAGGTTGTATGGCGCTGTAACGCCAGTCAAAGGTTTGTAATTTTAATATTATATTTAATGTATATACTTTATGTATATACATATATATAAAGTATATACATTAAATATCATATTAAATATACATTAATATATGTACTTTATTTAAATAGATCAGTCTGTTTGTGGTTCTTGTTGGAGTTTTGGTACTACTGGTGCAGTAGAAGGGGCATATTACATGAAGTATAATAAATTAGTACGTTTATCTCAACAGGTAAGCAGCGTGAAGTATCAAAATTTATTTTTTTTCTATTCAATTAATAAATTTTGTTTGATAAAATAATGCTAAGTGTTATAATATTGTATAATATAATATATAATAATATATATAGTATTTATACCGTAGATCAATAATATTGTAGTATTAATATTGCAGGCTCTCATTGATTGTTCATGGGGATTTGGTAATAATGGATGCGATGGTGGAGAAGATTTTCGTTCATATCAGTGGATAATGAAACATGGTGGTTTACCTACTGAAGAGGATTATGGTGGCTATTTAGGACAGGTAAAATATATATTTGATTACATTTATTAAAACTGAAAATGATATCTGATTATTAATATAATTTGTAATATGCGAACCAAAGGAATATTTTTCTTTTTAGGATGGATATTGTCATATAAAGAACATAACACTAACAGCCAAGATTACAGATTTTGTTAACGTCACTCCACGTAGCGTAGAAGCTTTGAAAATCGCTATTGCTAAACATGGTCCTATCTCTGTTGCTATCGATGCTTCTCACAAGACATTCTCTTTTTATTCTCACGGAGTGTATTATGACCCAGCTTGTGGTAAGATTATAAACTTTTATTTATGATATTGAAAAAATTTACTAATATGTTACTTAAACAATGTTTTCGTGTATAGGTAACACCGAGGATAAATTAGATCATGCTGTTTTGGCTGTTGGATATGGTACTATGAATGGAAAAGGTTATTGGCTGATAAAGAATTCTTGGTCTAATTACTGGGGTAATGACGGATATATTCTAATGGCGCAAAAGGATGACAATTGCGGAGTTCTTCTTGCTCCCACATATGTTACTATGTAATTGTAGTTTTATCTCTAAGAATTGGTCATATCATTTAAGCTCTCTGGTATTTTTAATTAATAATGTATATTCAAATACAATTTAGAAAATTAAGAGGCTAAAATATATTTAGTTATTTAGTTACTTAATTATATTTCATAATGAACAAAATATTACAAAGTATAATGAATTGTTGAAAATTGTATTTAGTATAGGAAAATGTGATTATACTATATAATAATGAAAAAAATAAAATATTTCGTAATTAAAAAAAGTGTCTATTAAACATTTTTTATTAATATCAAGAATGATTATTTAGGAAATAAAATAAAAATATACATTAAACAAAATATTCAAATTTGAAGTATATATTAACAGCAGAAATAAGCAGAATTCTTTATAAAATTTAGGCATATATGTGTAAGTAAAACAGAATCTTAGAATATTAATTTATTTTCGGAATAGTTGATATTAAATTAGTGCCACATATAATTTAACATAGACTTGATGCATTATTTTTTTATCAAAGGATAAAGTTACTTTCACTTTCGCAATCTTTTTTTAGACACGAACAGTCATTACATATTATATTTTTAATTATATTTTTATTAATAGTTTTAACGAATAATACGATATATTCAGAAAATTTTTATAAACTGTTTTTACACATAACGATATCAACGTAATTAGCAATTATTATTAATAATTATTACTAATTCGTTCTTTTTTTTTTATTATATTAATGCATTTTTTCGTTTGTCAAATAGCCTTGTACAATTTCAAAATATGATTATAACTATATATTTTTACAAATATATAAATACTTTTTCTAATGCATTTATGTTCAGTAAGATTGTTATATGGTGTTTGTATATAATGTGTAATTGATATGGATACTTTCAAAATATATATAATGTTTATATTTGCAATAAACGCTAAAGGAATGTAAAAAAATACATGTGATATGACAAACAGGTATAAAACAGGCATAATTAATAGAAGTTAACGAACAGTAAACTAATTCTTTGCAATAAATTTGCACGTAAAAGTATCACGATATATTAAGTAAACAATAACTATAATAGTTACAATTTGTGAAAAATGATGTAAATTCGTACAGGCTGTGTAAACTATATTAATAAAAAAATTTATTAGAATCTATTAGCGCATCTCTGACGGAAAAATTTTTACGAAAAACTGCATATATTGAGACAAAATCGTAGAAATTTTTAGTTTTTCATAGATATTCATAAATAGTGGAATGTGTAGAATAGTGTCGTTTGTTTGAAAAACCAAGAAATCCTCCGTCCTCAAACACTACTTTATGTCCATTACAAATATCTATGAAAAAACTAAGAATTTCTAAAACAAACAAACCTCATTCTACATCTTACTACAAATATCTACGAAAAATTAAGAATTTATAAGATCTTGTCTCAATCTATGTAATTTTTTTATACTTTTTCGTAAGAATTTTATTCCGCCAGGGATATTAAAGTTAAATCCTTTGATTTTGTTATTATCGGAAGAAAAAAGATGCAAATGTAGTGCATTTAAGTACATGGAACGTATATTATTATATATTTTTCACAGATTCCATTTTTCAGTTTATATAGTACATGTGACTAAGTGCCAACACTAGAAAATTGTTCGAAAGAATTTTATTATACACAAATCTTTGTTTCTCCGAATTTTGTTATTTCTAAAATTTTACTTTCATTCTATATCACTTGCGAACAAGATGTCCGACCGAATTACTCGCGAATTATTTTAATATCGGCGAGTATAATTATAATAGTTGCGAAAGTGTCAACTTTCCTTTTTTTTATGTATATTACATACGATAAAAGTTATAGGAATGAAAAGAGCTGTTCCAGAAAAAGAAAGTGAAGGAATGTGTGTGTGTGTGTGTGTGTTAAGCACAGGCGGGAATGGAAGTAAGTATACTTACCTGTAACACCCGTTACTTTCCTAATCGTTATAATAACGATTTGGTAATTTTTTTTATAATTGTTTATAATTTTTTTATAATTTTTTATAATTGATAAACATCAGAATTGAAAAAGTCACTCGTTATTGAAAAAATTAACTAGCATTCACAACTGGTTGTTATACTTTTTAGTCATTAATTTTAAAGATTAACTTTACCTCGTTACTCGTTACAAATAATATTATTTATAGTATAAATAGTAGTATTATTAGTACCCGCAAAAAAATGTTGCATATATAATTATATATAATTATATAAAAAATTTGACATATTTTTTTTTTATGATACAATTATATATATAAAATATGTCCATATATATAACATTTTTTCTGGATAAGTAAATGCGTAATGATGCAAGTTACTTTTCAAAATAACTTTCCCAACTTTAGCGCAGTTCTTAGTGTTTACTTAGTTATCATTATAGCCATAAAAAATTGCAAAGTCATCATCAAATTGTTATTATAAAAAAGAATGGAAAAAGTAACGGAATAGTAACTCTTCCATTCCCTGGTTAAGCATAGCTTTTTCGTTAGTTTTTCTTGTAACTCGCACAGAAATACACGTCATGCAATTTTTCATACGACCGAAATGTTTCCTGGTAGAGACTGATTTTCATATATACTTTTGATTAAAGAAATCCCATTTCTAAGGCAGTATAGAGGGCTTGAATGTCTGAGTGACTATTTATCCTCCAAAAGGGAAAGTTGTGTGCCCGCGCTGCTGTTTCCTCGTCAGAATCGTCTCCTATTACCACATACGTACATCTACGGCCAAATCGGGCAACTACTCTACCGAAACAACTCTCCTTTCCTAAAACAAAAACGTAACTTATGTTATGGAACAAATAATGGAAGAATCGCCAAAATTTGGCTTTGTGATCAAATATATACAGGATATTTTAAACTTTTTGGCACATCCCATACATCACAGAAGATTGAAGCAATATTGCTGCAATGTTGCAATATTGCAGATTGCAATGTAACATTGTAGAGGTATTACAGAAATGTAAATTAACAATATGCCTGCAAAATGTCATGTAATATGCTTGTAATATTCCACAAACATTGCAAAACTGTAATTCTTTAATTACAATATAAATGTAATTCTTTGTTACAATAATAATAATATAAAAATATAAATTTTTACAATATTTATGTAGTACAGTACTAACAGTCTTAACAGTTATTTTTATGATATAATATAATTAATATAATTCATTTTATATTTAAATAAATAAAAAATTTATTGACTTATTATTTGACGACTATTTCATTAGCTAATTTATATTCAATTTAAATATGAAATCAAAAGATTGTATAATATCGAGTTTGGATACAATCAATGCATCATTATCGGATAAGATAATAAGCAATTAAACTGTTAAAAACGAAATATTAATTATGTGATCGATAATGTATTTATGCCTCTGATGTGAACGCAAGAATAAACCAGCGCCGGAACTTTATTGATAAATTTCATACCGTCATTTTTTAAATTAATTTCAACTGACTCGGAATGATTTCGAATCAAAAAGAATCACTGCGATTAACTTACCAAGCGATTGTATTATTATATTAATGTAAATAATAATTGTAGTTTGTTCGGGGCACACATACATCCTTACGAATAAATTTATTCTTTAGAATTAATACTATATTTATTAGAATATTTTATCATAAAAAATTGCTTTTGGAAATCACATATCATTAGAATTTGCGATTTGTTTAGAAAAATTAAAGTTAGTGAGATATATGTATAGAAATAGTTTTTATTTTAGAGCCTTGTAAAAATTTATTTAAATACATTACATTGCAATATTGCTAGAACGTTTTGTTGCAATATAACAAAAAGCGGATATCTTAATATTGTTGGAATTTTACAACGTCTCACAACCACCATGCAATATTGCAATATTTCAGTGAAATCATTCTGCAATCTTTCTGTGCTGTATGGGATCGCTTGTGGGCAGATAGACCAATTACTCGCTTATCTAACAATCTTTAAAAATTAATACCTTATTAATTATTGCAAAAATTACAAAACGGTAGAGGGTTTTTCGACTCACTTTAGTCCGCTCTACCTGTTCACAAGCGATGTTAAACAGTTTGGGGCACCCTGTATAATTATATTTTTGTATAATTATATTAAATTATTTCTTTATATTTGATAATTACCGATTTTGGAAGCAGAGTATATATTCTCTATAGGAAATATTCCGCCGATGCCGAATAGTAGAACTTTGGAGAGTGCGGGTACCAGCTGCGTAGTCGTTACTAGAATATTAATGCAATGGCTTCTCTTGTTGATAATGTTCAGACACTTTACTGCCGATGTTAACCAGTTATCGGTCAACATTTCGATCTCGGAACGCAGTTGTAGCCACTGTTCGCGCTTGGCTGTCCCCAAAAGGCCACCCACGTTATTCCGATAATTACAATAGATTTCCTTGATTTTACGATAGCGGAATGCTAACTTTCTCATCCAATCGACGCCTCCTCGCACACCGGATGCCAGGCATATGCCATTGTTCGCAGACGCGCACTGGAAACCGTCGGTCGCGAAATTGTAGGATGACAGATCCTGTCCATTGTCATCCGACGAAACATCATCTATATGCACTTGATCACAGTCCTGCGAAAGAAAAAATAATACGCTGAATTTTTTGCAAATTTGTACGAGTTAGTATATATATATATATATACGTAACTACAAAGCATATGGTTCAAATATGGCTCATTTAGGCTTTGATATTTTTTTTTACTCTCGAACTAAAATATTCAAAAATTCATTGTGTTTCTAGCTGAAATCTAACCGTTATACTATACAAGCAGTCACATAAGTTTGCAGATGTTAGTTCTTAAAGAACACATGGTCAACTTATGGAAGTTTCTTTCTCGGAAAAGTTTTATCTAGGAAATGAATTATATCAGAATATTTAAATCAAATACCTCAAGTATTATTTGTAAATTTATAAATGATAATAACTACATTAGTAGTAACATTCTATATTGTTTTCTAGAAAATATTTTTTCAGGAAATAAAATAAATAATTATATACTTATTAAGATTAAATGTTATTTAAATTATTATATAAAAAATGTTAGTTAAATAAATACTTGTATGTAGGATAGTTATAAACATCTTTTTTATATCTTTGAATCTATAAAAATTATTTAAATATTTAACTTTTGTGGTAATCATCCTGTTTAAAATTTATATATGCTAGGAAATTTTTATCACCTCGACATCATTGAAGAAAAAGTGCGTATCCGCCAAATTGAATATCATCTCTTCCATCCTGAACCCCACTTGAGCTAGAAGGCTTGTATCCTTACGATATTTAGTGGCGAATTGTCCGGTTAGCAGGGAATGAAACACGACTATGGTTTCGTCGAGGTCCCAAATAAATATACGCTCGGGGCCGGCTTCCGTCGTATCCGCGGAACCGATACTGTTTCCGCTTCCGCTCTGTCTCCTTCCGCGCCTGCATGGCTTCGTCGTTGCCACTATAAAAGTTGTCATACAGATTTTTTTTTACAAATATTTCTTTTCCATTATATACATATATATCCTTTCTTTGAAATATTCTTTCAAAAATTATATGTATATTATCCCTTTGATAGTGTATATATATATAAAGATTATATACAATATTACCTTCAATGTTTGTGGTTTCCCGTGCAGTCAGATCGCTTGCATCGTGCGTCGTTGCATCCAACGTGAGCGACTTGGTCGAATCTTTTTACACATATAAAATAACGTTAATTGCGACTATTTGATAAAGAAAAATTAAACATGCGGATAATTTTTGTTTGAATTGTAAAACTTTTTATTTACATCAGTTGATATGGGAGTCAAAATATTAAAATTTCAGAATAATAATGCGACATATTTAAACTGCATAGTTTTCAAAATTAAACTTGAACCACCATCCAATTAAACGACTTGAATGTAAAAGTTTTATTTTGCATCACTCTGTCTTTCTAAAAAATAGTTTATGTAGCTGTTATAATTAATTTACTTTTTTTTATAAAAAATTTCATTTACATCTTCTAAGAAATAAGAAAGCGCGTAACATTTAAAAGATTACCAGCGAAGTTGATGTTTCCGATATTGAATGAAGTAGGCGGCGCATGATAACCGGGCATAGGATAATATCCGGAATACTGGAGCGGTACCCTGTCGTTTCCGTACAAACTACTGCTGTAAGCGCTATAATCTAATTTCTGCGAAAGAAGAGGAAGTAAAATCATTCGCAAAAAATTTGGGGAAAAAATCAAGATTGAAAATGGAAATCGAACATATCGTGTTCGTTCTCACCTGGGAAGCCGATGATATATTTTGTGCCATATTCGGGAAGGTCGTTGTCCCGCTATTGTAACTGGCATAGGACGGATACTGCGTCATCGAGCCTGACGATGTATAAGAGCTTAAGTATGAGCTCTGCAAACTCGATGCGTTTTTCGAAGCTGTCGTTGATCCGTAAGGTGGCGAGTTATACAGGCTACGAAAAAAAAGCCATGATGAAAACTAACTGTTTTGGATAATAAAGATCTATTTGTGCAAATCAAATTAATTTTACACATGTGTAATATGTAAATGCAGCTCGACGATTATATGAGACTATAATCTGATCTTTTAAAAAAAATTATCAAAAGATACAATGTGATAGTATTTTATACAGCAAGTTATATCTTCTGTATTTTATCATTTTATTTAAAATATATAACTCCAGCAAATTAAATATCTTTTCATCACAATCATTTTTCAAAATAAAATTAATCTCCTTAAGAGACATTTAATCGCTGAACTGTATGTCTAGCGCGCAACAATTAATGTTAAACATTTAAATACCTGTTATAATATTGGTTGGCGCCATATAGGGATCCGTAATCTGCTTTTTCCATCGAATCTGGATACTCCTGTTCCTTTTCTTCGGCATTCTCATCAATATACAGTTCACCACCAGGTACGCTATCATTTTCAGGACAGTCTTGCACTTCGTTCTTAACTTCGGTCTCTTATATGAAAATGATAAAATATTTTGTTTTATATTCTGAATCCTTTGAGTTTAAGTATATATTTATTTCTGATTTAAATTTATAATTTTTCACGACTGAAAAAGACAAGTCCAATGCAGATCAATTTTAATCTCGGGTTAATTTACTTGTTAGAATTAGAAGAAGATAAAAAGTAAGTTAAAACGAGATTAATGTCAATCTACATTAGTAGAAACGGACATTAGTTAAATTTGAAATGTTTCGTCGGTTGTTTTTGTCATTTTTAGTATGAATAAAATTATATTATTAGTTATTTAATTTGAACTCATTTAAATTTTTTACGTTTAATTAATTAATTATTTTGTTTATAAATGTAGTTTTCCGAAATGCTGTGTACACACACACACACACACACACGCGCGCGCGCGCGCGCGCGGAAAATTTGATTAATTCGTGCATAATGCATAATGGCTGGCTAATGAATAATGCCTGCTTTATCCATATTGGCTAGCCGTTATGTATAAATATTGAATTAATTATATTGCTCGTAATACAATGAGGAGCAAACTTTCAAAATGCGTTTTGTTCAAAATTTATAATTTTCCGAAAACGAGAAAGAAAGCCACAAGAAAATTGCGCGCCTTATATATATAGCCACAGAAAATAACAACTTTACCAATCAGCAAGATGTGAAATCAACAAAATTGCTAAACAAAGTTTCTAAAAATGTTAAACAAATACATTTTGTTTGTCTCTAGTTAAAAGACATAATGTATAATACTTCGAATGTCAAGATTTTTGTCAGCACATAAATTGGTGTAAAAATGCTTTCATAACATCGTAGAGCTTAAAATATGAGTCTTTTAACATTGAACACGTGCCACCTTTAACTTAAAAAATGAAATTTTGGACAAAATGCATTTTTGGAAGTTTGCTCCTCATATATACATCTTTGCTTAATGGTTCACGACATTGATTGCTGTTCCTTTTCCAATTGTATTTTTACAACATTGATAATTGTAGTAAATGTAAAAATAGCAAAATGCAAAGCGGTTAAAGTATGATTAACGAGATGAGCGTACCGGCAAACAAATTGGATATTAATATAGAAATCAAATTTATTTAAGTTTTTATAAATATATTGTATGTAACAAGGGAAGAATAAAATCTCCCACACAGATATTTAACTTTGAATCTATATAGCAATGCATTTATTCTACGCCAATGTAGCTGCACGTTGTATCTACCATTGTTTGCGGCGCGAGGATGCTGTACCGAGGCTTCTGTCGAGGAAGACACGTTGCCAGCATTGTCTAAAACCCCTGCTGGTTTTGTCGGATCATTGTCTTCGGTTAACATATCACTCTATCTGTAATAACAATTATCGATTTGTCTCTCTATATCGAGAATATGATAAAAGAATAGATAAACGTTGTGACGAAAAAGTAAAATTGTATCGCACTCATAACTTAAAAATTATCGATGTCGATCTTTATTGGAAAGATACGAGATAGAGAGAGAGAGAGAGAGAGAGAGAGAGAGAATCTGTAAATTAAAAACGTAAAACACGCGTTTTAATAATATAGCAATAAAAAGTATATACCTCTACATAAAAGGGTGAAGACTGAAGAACGAGCTAAAGAAACAAGATATTATAATTTATAAATAATAAAAATAAGACTTTGATATTATAAGATTAAAATAGTACATTTGACACTAAATCTTTATCAGCTAATAAAATAAATGATTAATTAATAAGACATTAATTAAGCGTCATAAAAGAGGTGTTAACCGCAATCGCGTAAATAAAGAGGGTCATCCAAAAAGTCATTTAAAAAATCACGCACACAAATCTAAGCAAATTAAAAATCAGAAATAATAAATTATAAAATTTGACATAAAATAATCAAAGATGAAAAGATGAGGTTCGGTGTTCATGCAGTTAAAAGATTAAAATTATATTGATTCGTTTGATAGCAAGAAATGTTAAATTAAGTCATATGGTAAATGTTAATATTAATTGTAATCTACATGTTACATTCGTCTACGAGGAGTCTCAATTATGTCTCAACTCTCAATAATGACTGATAGTCATCGACGCCAGTTCTCATCTCTCGAAAGTAACTGTTATTTTAATAGATGAAAACACATTAATTAATATCAGAATAGTGATCATATAGAAATCAAATTAATATCAAATGTAATCAATAGAAAATAAAACTAGTTTCTATATATAAACTTATGAGTCAAACATGTGAGTCATGTGAATGAACTATATGTGTTTTTTTAAACCATAATTTTTTTAAACACACAAAAGAAACGGTTATCTCTTAATTCAAATCTCTCTCACATAGGGCCGATTAAGTAATTGGCGTTGATGAAATAGACTGTAAATATGTTGATTCGGCGCAATAAAGCGAGGAAAGATGTTAAAGTAACAAACTATGTTTATATATATTATTTAGCGTTGTATTTTGATATCAAAGTTCGTCAAGGATGTTAAAATAGGCTTAATATTATTAAGCACTTTTATATCTTTGTTGGTAAAATGTTGCGATTAATACCCAGACAAAAAGTGTCTAAAATCTTAGTCATAAGATAAGATGTTTTTTGCATCTAAAGGACGATTTAAAGACGTCTTATGTTACAATTTTAGATTTTGTATTATTTGGATTTCTTTCATGATGCTTAATTATATCGTTTTATTAATTGAGCATTTATTTTATTAACTGATGAAGACTCGGTGTAGTTGAAACGTATTATTTTTATCTTTTGATATATTAAATCTTTATTAATTTTAATATCTATATGTACATATGTATATATGCATATATGTATGTATGTATGTATGTATGCATGTATGTATGTATGTATACATATATGACTATTTTTTATTCCAACAATTTGTAATTTAATGGAACATGCCGAGTTATTATGAATTTATACCCTAATAAGCAGCTAAATCCAAGACATTAACGACTCCGCGTCGAACGATAATGCATTAACGCAATCTTGCAGGTGAAAGATCGCACCTGTAAGATCGCGAGGATACTCGTTCGCGTGAGAACTCGATTATTGTCTGCCAATTGCGTGTCGAAGAGGTGGAGTGACTGGCTGGGTAGGCGTACACCATGAGGCACCGAAACCAGCCAATGGAACCTCCTCGATGCTTTGCATTATGTATTCTTTATGTTGCCAAGTCACTATCTATATCTGCACTCCGCCCTTATGCGTGTGCGTACATATGTCTCGTACATATTTCGTATGATGATGTGAAAGACACCTTCAAGAGTTCCTCGAGATGTGACTACTCTTGTCCTACATACATTTCTATATGCAATCTCTTTCAAATAATAGTACAATTTGATTTTCCAGCTGATAACCAATTTAAGTATCTTGATAATAGAGTCTTTAAGTACGATTGCTTTGAAGGAAGCTTATCAAAGACTATAATTAACATTCTGAATGAAATTAAATCATCATTAAAAAAGTGTAGCATGAATATAACTGATTACAGAACTCAGCTCTTTATCAACTCAGTTCATTGTCTTCGCTTTGGAAAATTTTTATTTTATTAATGGCGAACGATTTTTTAGGTTTATACATATATACGCGTATATCATGTAGATACTGGAATAAAGTATCATCGTGAGGAAATCGGGTCCTAAATTTGATGAATAAATTAATACGATTTTCTAGCACATTTCATACAAAAAGATTTAAAAGATCCAGCTCTCTAGATTGATCAAATATTATCACGCCGAATACAGAGACATAAATTTGTTGTCACTCTATATAGCGTCGCAGTTTATTTCGCTGCGCCGAGTTGCATATCTTAATGTACAGCGAAGCGAAAGATGAAAGGCACTTCGCTTATCTAAACAAAAGCCTGTGCCGAAGTGTTTATCACGGGCGAGTTGCTTAGCTTGCTGTCTGACTGGCTGTCTGTCTGTCAACCATCAGGGAAAACGAAATGCAGCGACAAAAGAGGAATGCCGTTGTTTAGTGCTTATCCGCAGGTTTTTTCTCTCGTCCATCTAATGGCTTGGTTTACGTTGTTGACCGTTGGAGAAAAAGAGAAAAAGAGAAAGAGGGAGGGAGGGAGGGAGAGAGGGAAAGGGAGGGAGAGGAGAGAGGAGAGAGAGAGAGAGAGAGAGAGAGAGAGAGAGAGAGAGAGAGAGAAAAAAGCCTAAGGATGACTACACAAGAGAAGTTTATCGAGACAAAAGCTTTTTGTCCGAACCTACCTACCTGCATCAAAGAATACATAAAATATAGATTTTGAAAATAATGTTTTTAATCATCTTCTTTTCGTAGTAGTTAAATTTATTATTTCTTGAGAAAATTTACTATTATGAGTTTTAATACTTATTTTTTCGTGACACTGTTATCTTTAAAAAAATATAATTTTTCTGAGATTTTTTTCATAATAGCTGGATTATATATATTTCATAATAATACTATATTGCTCATATAGAATGTTAATTACTAAATGTCACATAATGTTTAAAATTTTTTTTTATTAAAATCTTATTGACCTAACGAATAAATAACTTCTAATTAATATATTTTATTTTTTGAATCTCAACATCAGTAAACTGTAAATGAATGAATATCAAGATATTAATCTCTATAGCGCTGAGAACAATTTAAGACGTTATGAATAATAATGTTTTAAAATAATATTTTATTTTTATTTAAAAAAACTAAATATATAAAGCTCACTTGTCAAAACAATGTAAATGTAACACAAGGATATATGAGCAAAAACCGAATTAAAGTTGCTAAAACATAATTATATTTCAAATAAAATAGAATAAAATAAAATAGATCTTTCGTCTATTTTAAGTCATTATCAATGTTGTTATTTGTTACGGTAAATTAAAATAGTTATATGCTAATGGTTATACATTTGCAAGATGTGAACGATTTATATCCTTATTATAATTATATACAATTAAACTAGTTATATAAAATAAAGTGACAAAACACAATTTAATGTACCTGCATATTCTCTCTATTCTTATAAATATCACTTAGTGTAGTAGAATAAGTACGTAATTGAAAGAGCGGTCGAACAAGCGACGGAATAACATTGATAATGACCTAAATGTTTCGTCGAAACGTTTATTTCATTTTATTTTATTTGAAATATAATTATGTTCTAGCAACTGTAATTCGGCTTTTACTCATATAGCCTTGTGTTACATTTACATTGTTTTTATTTTAAACTTTGTAGTCTTTGTAGTCACTGTAAAGTCACTCATAAAAAAGTAAATATTAGAACTTTATCACTTCTATGCATGTTGTTTATTTGTGCGCATCGTTTGGTAAATTGTTGCGAATATAGTTCGATAAAACTATTGGTAATCTACATGACAAGTTTTTTGGAGAGACCATATTGTCTAATACTACGCAATAGCCAATTAAAATACATTATTGCTCTAACGAGCCGAATGAGATGCATAAGTTACGCATGCTCAATTGATAATGACGTTTCATGCCTGTGTGCGAACATCCGCGAGTAGCAATTCTCGGCTCTTTCTTTCTCTCTTTTTCTCGTTTATTTAGCAATTTTAGAAAAAACATGCATGTGTACAGAATATTCGTGTATTCTTATCAGGACAATTTAAATTTTTGACATAATTAATATGTGTGAAAAAAGGATAGGTAATTATCTCTTCAAAGAGTGTTCCTTCGAAAATAGATAATTATTAAAATGTTAATGAAACTCTGTGCATGAAAGAGAAAGAGCACATTAATAAATTTTAAAATATTATAGATTTTATAAATATAATTATCTATTTAAAGTTTTAATAAAGCGTGACGCAAAATTAATGTAATAATTTTAGTAATCTTCAAATATATATACTAAATTATATACTAAATTATGATACGAAAGATGACATGTTAAAAATTTATTTAAATAAATAAACTTTGTTTGTGTAGAAATAGATAATGAATTTTATAACGTTAATTTTTTTTGAACAATTGATAATACTATCTAAAATTTATAAAAGATACAAATATACTAATCATATTTTCAACTCATTCTGATCATTCATACGATATTTTTTTCATGTGTATCGACAAAACATAAATTATGTACTCCAACTTATATATACTTTCCTTCTATAATTTTCTTTCAAATTTCTTTTTTATACTTTTTTAAAAATTTTAATAAAATTTTTACGTATTTCTATCTTCGGCACCAGACTATTAATTTTTAAAAAGGTTCACTCCCGCGCGCGTTGTCATAAAAACAAGATCGCTGTTTGTCAAGACATGCGACATGGATCTGACATGGATAACGACAAATCCTGATTTAATATATACGTACATTAATTGTTTGAAGGGATATTCCGTCAGGAGCATTGAAAAAAAGAGAAATCCTCGCGATAAATCTAATCAAGCAACATCGATCACAATCTTACGTTCCGTCGTTGGCTCCAGAATCGAAACAGAGTGCTCCGACAAACGTGTTCAAGGATGCCGTCGACGATTGCTTCTTGACAATAGCATCGTCATCCCGGGAATACGTAATGCGCGCGTATATCTACTACGTGCGTATGCGCGTAAACACGTTGTATCGGAATCCACGCATTTACTCGTTATTTTTTTTTTGCCCGAATTCACTTTCTTTGCATCTTCCAGGACCACGGAAACATCATGCTGTGCGTGTTCAACCACTACCCTGCGTTACGCGTGCGTTACGTTTTGCGCACCGCCCGGCACACAACACGCGCACACACACACACGCGCACACACACACACACACACATACACACATACACACACACACATATATATATGTATATGTATATATATATACACACATATATATATATATATATATATACACGATAGAGACACCGTCGAATACGCGATACGTCGTCGAAACGATGAAATCCACGTCGTTTCGGTCGGAGAGTCTCGTCCGAATCGTGGACGGATCTTTCGCAGGATCAGCGCTCCGCCCGTTCGCGCAAGGGATGCAGATTGCAGTCAGATGTCCTGCACCCGGACAGGATCACCGCCACGCTCGCGAGATTGCGAGAGAGACTCGCTCGTGCGCTTTCAATTTTCCTGGTACGACTTTTTTTGTCTACTGGGAAACGTTTTCCCGGCGAAGATCACTCACGATGAACTCGCTATAATACCATCGTTTCCCGGCGCGTTGCATCGAGATGTATCGGCGAGTCCTCGCGCCGTGTATGTGCGATACGTTGCAGGCGGCCTGTGCTGAGCAGTTCTGAGCATGCGAAATGTCGCCTGCCACCCCCGCCCGGTGGTCACGTGGTCACCCGTTCGTTCGGCCCTCTTCGTCGCACCTTTCCACTAACCTTCTTTCTTTCTCTCATTCTTGTCCTCTTCGTCTCATCCAATCTCTCTTTGTTCCACGCTCTTGCTTGCGATGTCCCATCGTCCTTTAACCTCTGACTTTCTCTATTATCCTTATCATTCTCTCTTTCCGTTTTCTTCTTTCTTTTTCAAAATGCTTATATACATATCGCTATATGCATGAATTATGCGTGTATCAATAAAATAATTCCTCCTTCAGGATGAGAAATTATATTTCCTTCTCTTAATCATTTATCAATCATTTTGTTTTGCGTTTCCCTTTTCTTTCTTTATTATTTATCTATTATTTATTTCTAAAAATTATTTGTACGCAATAATAATAAATAATGCATATTTATTTGTTTAAGATCGCAATAAATCGCAATTCTCTCTTGCGCATTCCCTTTTTCCTTCTTTGTCTTATTCATTCTTCATCTCGTTCTCACTAGCACAGCGCGGCGGGCGCATACAGGTCGCTCGTTAATTAGAGCGAGAGGATATAATGAGTCGCGCGTGTGATGGGTGATGGCGTGAGAGATAAGGAAAGAGAATGAGACGACGATGACGACGCGTGAGAAGGATAGATATAAAAAGAGACGAGAAAGAGGGGGATGGGGAGAGAGAGAGAGAGAGAGAGAGAGAGAGAGAGAGAGAGAGAGAGATTCTGATTGTGATCGAGTTAACGTGAGTGGAGAAAAAGAGGTATCTATCCCTATATTCGAATAATTGTCACCTCTTGTCACTGTTCATTTGTATCTACAAATCGTTCGGCAATAAATGCTCCTCTCCGACGGGACAAGTTTTCAGAGAAGACACCAATTAAAAGAATCTATGGGCGATCTTGATAAGAATCTTGATAAGAATAGGACGCATGTTTTAGGATCCCATGAATTAGTGAAAAGAATAAAAAAGAGCATCGCTCGCGAGTTTTCATATTTTAATCGTTGTAATATACAGTTTACATATAAAATATCGTTCCCTTTGATATTAAATTGAACTATCGCGCTAACTATATAGATCTTATTCTGTTTCGAAATAATTAGCACTAAAAATAAAAAAAGGCACGAATATAACAGTTTAATGATATTTTTTTAACTTTATTAACTTTTCTTGTGTGAGATAATTTTCGAATTAATAATTGATCTTTTGTTTTAAGAATGAGAAAGAAAGAAAGCAAGAGAAAGTTGCGACAATCCCACCTTTTTTTACGAGGAGACAGAGAATTCTTGACGGGAGGTCCACCTCCACGGTCCACGTCACCGGCAGTACGTCATACTACAGCGGGTTCCTGGAAGGCGAGAATGTCCCTGCGTCCTTTTTTCTCGCTTTATCGATTACGGCGCGATAAAGGCGTCGCGAGATGTCTGCTTCCTCTGTCACTGCGTGACAAAACAAATTAGGACCTTTACCGTGAGTAAAATTATAGAAGACAAAGAACGGTCGTTCACGAATATTATTAGAATATAGCTTTCTGCAACCTTTAAAATTAAGGCACTCGTGCGTCTCGCAAATGGATTGAGGGGAGAAGCTGACAGGAGCTAATCTTCAATTACGAATTAGTTTAAAATTATTTGCGAAATTCTCTTTTTTCTATTGTTAATATTATATACACTCATATTTCTTACAAAACTTTAAGTATACTACATATATTATTTATCAATACATATTTTTTATTCTTATTCAATATATATTAAAGAAAAATTGATTATTCTATTGAAAGAGTTAAAACATGAAAAGAGATACGGCAAGTTTAAGAGAGAATTTTTTTAATCAACATTTTTTAATTAAAGATTAAAAACTTGAAATTTTGTAGTAAATGTATTTTTATTAATTTTTTAATTATTTGTTTCATATAAGACGCTATATCTTTTCGGAATAAACTTCACGCTGTAGACTTTTAAACTTGAAACCTCTTTGCGGCTAATGTAACTGTAACAGCGAGGGTGAGTCTGCATTTTTCAAGAACGATGACGAAAATGAGGAACAACATGAACGGCAATATAATTTTCTACATCCTGTACCAACATCCATTGTGCGTTTTCCACCAGCTTGATGGACTCTCAAATTTCGTTAAAAGTCTCGCTAACGTTACCATAAAAGCATCTCAAGAAACCTGCCCGTTTAAGCGCTTCACTCACGAACGTTTTGTAATTGTTTCAGAGTATCATTTCATAGAGAATAGAGAGAGAGAGAAAGAATAGAGAGGGGGGGAGAGAGAGAGAGAGAGAGAGAGAGAGAGAGCGCTTCTGTGTTTATTCATAATATTCGTGTGTATTTACAAATATATTTGATATATTTAATATATTTAATTGTTAGAATATGCGTATATCATAAATATATCTCATTTAACACAATCCTTTTTTATTAACTGTTTTATTATAATTTCCGGGAAAATTATACCCTGCTAATATTATCCTCGATAATAAATCCATATTCGTGAAATAATAACGAGCATTCACGAGGTATATAGTGGTCAACATCTTAATCAGAGTTTTTGTGACGAATGTCAAAAGAGAATAATACTTTTACATAATAGCTAGTAAACGTGAGAGTAAGGTAAGTATAGCTAATTCAGTCCCTAGTTTTTGTATTTTCACAAAACATCGCATACACAAGAATCTCTTCGTGTTTATAAGAGAGGTTATCTCATTTATCTCTTTATTAAATACTTTGTTAGATTTACCGCAATTTGTATTGTTATATATGTATTTATATTTGTTTCACGAAAGAGCATGATATCCTACTAGAAGATTTTGTTAATCCAAGTTAGAAAATGATATTCAATATAATTTTTACGCGTTACGTTTTATATTTGGCTTAAACGTACGTAAAAGACAAACGTTTAGCTCAAATTAACTAAAAACATTAAAATACTGTTTGTATATCCGATGCTATTGAAGTATCTTCTTTTAAACATGTATGTAACTCGACTACGTTTCTTTTCAAAATTTTAACAGTTTAAAAAAGCATCCGCTGAATATGAAACTGTACGTGTTACGAATCTACCATCTTCTATACTATCAGCTTCTTATAAGAATCAAATTTTCAATATCCTCTCGAAGGAGGTTGTGGCTCTGTAGTATCGTCATATTTCTCGGGACAAATACAATATACCGCTTTATTCGTGAAAGAAATATCGATTCGACGGATGTTTCGCAAGAGTCACTCGAAGTAAAGGCGATGGATAATATAAAGAAAGACGTGCATTGGAAGTAGACATGGCGTGTGGTGAGTTGGCCACGACCGCACAGATAGTGAAGAAATGGTGGAATGGTACGATATCTTTATGATATAATGAAATAAAAGCTTTACAAATTGCGAGAGAAAGAGCGAGAGAGGAAAAAGAAAGAGAAAGAAAATTCAGTCCAGTCTTTCGAGGTATGCGGGCGGCTTGTATTGTTCTTTAATACATTAATGGTACACATATGTATACGACCACCCAGGTACTTGGATACAAACACTTTAGAAAAAGTGCAGGTACAAAGAAATGTATTGTATACGATGTCGTGGAGTTTGTGAAAATTGTTCCGAAATGCGTATAGTTGACACACACACACACGCGTGCGCGCGCGCGCGCGCAAACATGTGTGTGTGTGTGTGTGTGTGTGTGTGTGTGTGTGTGTGTGTGTGTGTGTGTGTGTGTGTGTGTGTGTGTGTGGTGTAAGAAAAGAGCCGCATCCTAC